CTCGTTTGCGCACATGCTTGTAACATCTCCTGCATTGATTAGATTAGTAACTAGACTATTCTTTTGTTGATTAAACAGACTGATCGAAATAAATTAACTATACATTAACATCATGATCGATAAAATAAATTAATATTGTGATCGAAATAAATTAACTCAAGTAACTTATGTATTTAAGAGAAAATAAACCTTTATGATAAATGCCACAAAAAACCATGGTTGCTCTAAGGTCTCTTTCTAACCACTCAAGGATACAAATTGTGTTGTACACACATAGAAATAGTAGTGCTTACAAATCCCCTTAATATTATAAAACGCTCGTATACCTCCTGCCTTACTCAAGCACAACGTTATATAATTCGCTGCCATGTGTGTATGTATGTATGTACGTATGTTATCTAAACAATGAATTCGTAATAAGTGACATTAGCAAACAGACACCGGTTTTAATTAATATTAGATAACAAGCCATTTCCACTGTGTCATCACTACGATTTATTTGTGTCCAACAGAATGGTTTTAATTACTTTTTTTTGTTTGAAGTCTTTTGATGAAAGAAGTCGGGTTTTGTAGGACATGTAAATCAAATTAGTTTTCTTTATAAGCGCAAAGATTTTTTCTTGAATGTCGTTTACTTTACATAATATAATGTTTTCAAACGTTAATACTTTCTTAATTATAATAGCTACGTTTTTCAATATTGTTATTATCATACATATATGTCAACTAGCTTTTGCTAGCGACTTCGTCCTTTCTGAAGTTCCAAACTATGTCTGTACCAAATATCACAGAAATCGGTTAAGTAGTTTAGGTGTGAACAAAAGACAGACAGACATAGTAACTTTCGCATTTATAATATTAGTTTGGATTTTAACACTAACTCCAAACCAAATCAATAACTAATCAATTTTATTTACCTATATATTTAAAATTTGAATATATTATCTTATTATAATTATTTGTTAATCATAGTCATATTTTTTTTAGTATTTTGCATACACTCTGTTAATAAAACTGTACTACGGAATATAAGAAATAAAAATAAAAAAAGGCTTTTTATTTATTTTTATTTCTTTATCTAATCATCTGTGAATTTCGTTATAGATGTAACAGTTGTTGAGTGCTTAGAAACTCATCGTACCACAACACGAACTCGTGGTTGAAGATAGGTTGCCATGTTCATCCATTGCGGTACACAAACACATGCGGTTCCGTAGTTTAACTTCCTGAAGAACAGAATTCATGCCACAGCTTTGTTTCTTTTGTTTTCGTTCGGCCAGAGCAAAAAATGATCAAACCAACTGTATGCTGAATCATTCTATTTCCATCCTAGACTTTACACTAAAAAAATCACCGAAAGTTAAGAGTAGAAGAAAATAATCTTTTTTTTTTAATGAAAAATAGACGTTTTGCATTATCTCGCTGTCTGATTTTTCATGAGAATTACAGGATTAAGTTAATATAGCATTTTTATTTCAGTCACGTACGGAATTTTATAGTCGGCAGACGCTGCCTCCTTTTTCGGATTAAAACGTCACTTACAGATGAATTTCAACGAAACTGAGAAAATGTTATGAAGTATAAAAATCTAGATTGTGCGTGTAGTTAATAAAAAAACTCAAACAAATTACAAGCTCGAATAAATTGATTTGCATACTGCTGTTAATGTTTCAAACTAAAGATATGCCGAAATAATTTATTAGCCTCATTCTACGGACACTGCCTTGATGTACAGGTGCCCGCCTACCCGACTACGGCGTAGCAAATCTCTACGCCAGCTACGTACCTACGTAGCAAAAAACTACTTCCTTCTAATATTATAAACGCTATAGCGAAATATTATGGATGCCCAATTGATATTTGTAAATTTTTAATATACCAAAAACTAATTCTTCTTCTTTTCTAAAAATGTTGTCCCACACTAGGATTTTCTCCTGTGTGATGCGGTTACAAACATACAATTTCACATACACAACTGAAACGAACGAACGAACGAACGATGTAATAAAAAAATAGAAAAGAGATAGATAGTCTGGGTTACACGGTTTAATAACCTTATATTTAATTCGGTACTGATAAGCTAAGTAGTTATAAATATTAATTTGTATGTAATTATAATCTTTAAAAAATAAGGAGTAATTTCTACACTTTGTCTTAAATGATTTAAAATAATTAAAAAATATAATATTTTTTCCACATATTTGTATATTGTTAAAAATACAGTAGGAGTCTAGGTTAAGGTATCGGCAAACATTCATATCTTAAGTCTGAGCAGTAATGTAATAGTCTCTGATGTGTAACAACAGCGTATAATCCGCACCCAACCACAAAGAGAATAAACCTGCACTTTATTCTGTTAATAATAAAACAGTTATTAAACTACCACAAATTCATGTGAAGTTAATCCCCACAATACAATTTTATTACACAACGTGATACGTTTTAAATACCGACAATAATGCTTTTATTTTAACAACAATTTTGTGGTTCCATTTATTTTAACTAAGAATCCATAATTAATGCATTGAATAAAACTCTTCCTATTTAAAATTTTATACTTGTAAATTATTTTAATTAAATTCTTGCTATTTTGTGACGAAAATGTTACCTTAATAACTTATTTTATTTCACATATTTTATATTTATAATTATTCACTACGTTATTCTGGAATATATAATTGTGACAGGTTTTTCAAAAGCATTAAGCTAGGAGAAAAAAAAAAGACGTCAAAGATATTATGTAATTAATCCTAATGCATCACGTTGTCTCATGACAAAAATTATAATTCACCAATGCAGAGTCAAAACTAAACATAACACTTAACTAAATTGAAAAGCTAACCTACATCGCAACACAAAACAGACATCCAATGTTTTGTTTATAGAAATGCGCAAAATCATCGAAAACATCATCGTGATCCTGTCACCTCTATTAATTACACTGGGACATATTTTTCGAACCGCTAATGATGATGTGTGCCTAATGAATGGATGCTCGTCATTAATACCGTGGTGCTCGCTAATGTCCGGTTTCACGCATCGACTGCTACTAATTCACCCCCTCCACTCCCCCCTTTTATACGTCACGTCCACCATAACGCACAGTTCATTACTGTCCGATTTTGCTGTACAATCTCTTAATTACACAGACTTGTTGGCCCACCGCGAATTAACGAAATAGTTTTTGAACCCGTTTAGCAAACATTCTCTGAAATTCAAACAGAACTCGTGCATAAGCGCGATTATATTATATTCAAAGTTAATCGGTCTGTTCATTAAAACTGCAATGTTGATATACTATTCGTTTTATGAGACTGTTGTTTGCAACGAAGAGCTTTCCGTGAAATGCTTCACTGGGCAAATATTCATTACTTTTACTTTATTGTGTACACTTTTTGAAAAGGAACTTTATGAATAAACACTGTAAATGTACGTTCGATTAAATATGAATTTCATTCGAATGGATTTCTGAGTACTGAGACTGTATCTTATTATTTCGTGTTTTCACACTGTTAGGCACGGTAGGCTTGCACATTGTAGTTCCCGCAATAAACGGAGGCTTAATAAATCATCGGTAAACTGCGCTAAAAGGAACTTAAGCACAATACCTCGGCACCGACTCGTAATTTCCCTCCTTCCCCCCACTACGTCCATATTTTACAGCTCTTTTACCCGTTCATTTTTAAAATACGATGTTCGACAAATTCACTTAATGCCGCGTTAAATGAACCGTGTTCGCATAATAAAAGATTTTATACTCAAAAGCGATTTCAGAATGGACGATATTTCCGTGAAACGAGAAAATGCCGCACTCCACGTCGACGCTTCATCTCGTCTCTAGTAACGTCGGAATATTTTTTTCGCGCTCGAACGACTCCGAATTCCGGGCGAATAAAGTTAAGAAAACACCACATACAAATAACGCTCAGATTACTTTAAATACTCTGGTAAAGTGAGCTCTGAGCTCTTTTCCAGATAATTTATTCGTTTATTAAAGAGCCCCGTGAAAAAATTATTTTGTTTAGTTTTTCCTTTTACTAAGTAAAGTAGGCCCGACTCAGAGCGGAACATTTCATAATCCGTGATAAGCAACCAAAGTTAATAAAGGAAATACGAAATAAACATTCCCCTTTCTGGGGTACAGCAGGCTATTTAAAAATGGCTAATTACTGTCCAAAAGCGATGCGAAAAAGTCTCCTTCATTTTATGGGCATGTCATGCTAGGCTCATCATCAAAGGATCGCATAGTTCGGCATTCATCACGGTTCCGTTGGTAAAAGAGAATCCCTGGGCTCATTCAAAAATTGTTTTACCTTTTAGTCACTGAATATGATTCATAGAAATCCCTCCTACTTATTAAATTCCAACTTTTATTCGAAATAAATTTTAATAGAAGCTTTTCACAATGTTTGATTTTTTACGCTCAACAGTGATATGATATTTATTTTCAGTAACTTAGATACAAAACTGGAAACTATTTCCGCTTTCAAATAAATATGTTTGGTTAAAAACACGACTCAGCCCTCCTCTACATCTTAAAATAAATCCGTATAAGTGAATTCTTCTGTAGATCCCTATCGCAATCCTAAAAGCTTTTTAGCGCATAAAATATTCCCATGTGTGATTTATTTTTGTTGGTGTGTTTTAACCTTTTGCATTGATTACGTATACAACTCAGTATAAGATCCTAAATTTGTTTACTGAAGCTGAAATAAAATGGTTTTTTAAAGTGTTCTACTTAACCATGTTTTTTCTCGTTTTTACGTGGAAATGAGATAAATGTATAAAATGCATTAGCCGGTTATTTTTCTGGCTCGGCTCCGCGCGAGAACGTTTTAAGCGATGAGCTAACCCATAACATTATAACCCCTTTACACATAAATGTACTAAAGAAATAATTTAACTAAAAGGTTCTATAATTATATTGCTGTCTCTTTTGATTTTGACCAGAATTAACGGAATGGCATGATGTTGTGAATTAATGTAAGGTTTGTTTTCAGTTGTGGACAGTCACAGAGGCGAGACCTTGGAGTTGGCTCATGTGCAGAGGACGGACATGGGCGCCTACTACTGCATCGCCAGCAATGGGATACCGCCCACAGTCAGCCGGCGGTACCACGTGGAAGTGCATTGTAAGCAAAAAACTTAATTATATTCCATAGATATTTATGAATTTCGTAGACTTAAATGACCAATATACACTTAATAAATCGATGAGTTATTTATCTATTCACAATTCAGTGTATTCAATGTTTTGATATAAAATCAGTACATATATATAAAAAAGTATCTCTTTCATATCATTTGATATCAAGTTTTAGCGACAGACGACACCAAAATAGGTATCATGTCATCAAATCACATCATGAGCCTAAAGGTTGAGCAAAGGCCTCTTCTCACACGGCGAAAGTGCCTTTGCTCAACCTTTAGGCTAATCAGCATAATTCTACGTGCTTGCTCAAGGCGGATTCGCGATTTCAAACTTATAATTAGAAATTGTAAATCCAGGTTTCGTCACGATGTTTTCCTTCACCATAAGTCAGTGGTGTCTAATTAATCATAGAAAGTAAATATAACTCGGAAAAAATCAAATTGCTACTTGTCAGGTTTCCAACCCACGCTCACGCTCATGCATGAAAGCGGGCGCTTTAACCTCCAGGCCACTACAACTCTTCTCAAAATAGGTTGACAAGATCGTAACTCCGCCCTTGATTTATTCAGAATAGTTAAATTACGTTTTTATAAGTCAATTTAATAGGTTAAAGTGCGATGGGATACAAGGTGCGATGGGATTGACATGTACCTGGTATAAAAGTCTCAAAAAAATTAAAGATCCAAACTGAGGACTTAATCATGACGGAAAAATTCACTTTACAAGTAACAATCGAGAATTTAAAGAACGTATTAAATGTTATGAATACTTTAACTAGTACTTTCTGCAAAATGAAGTACACTTTATGAATGTCAAAAGATACGCCCGTTCGATTACTTCGCTCGCCGAATAAGGGCAAGAACTCAGCCCACCAAACTTTACTAAAGTTATTATTCCGTCCGAATATTTTACTTTAGACTGTTTAAGTCTTTATTTACCGCGGTTTGAATTCACGAAATATAAAAAAGTGGAGGAATATTCTTGTTTTGTAAGGATCTGGCTACATGTAGCGACTTATTGCACAGACGTGTATTCTAACTATCTTTCTAAATAGTAAATGCTATGTTAGATATGTGATACAAGTTTTTTTTTTTAAATTTGCCTCATACTAGGATTTTCTTCAATTTGTGTGATCCACATTTACACAGTTATCATTAAACGTAGGCACATCGTAATACAAATAAGATTCTTTTCAACTTCTAGTCCTAGATAGTCAAGAGTAGATTTTTCACTATAGAGTAAAATGAACAAATGAAAAAAATATAATCTAATAAACATAATGAACGTGTAACCAGACCTTAAGATAGCGTGATTGAAAGGCCAAACAGCGCAGCAAAAAGAAGTTTAATTAAAGTTAATGATCGTCTAGGAAATAAGAAACGATGAAGACATAACAGGAATGAATGAAGGATGCTAAAGAGTTACTTGCAGTTTTGCTTGTCTTGTCTGTCTGTCTAGTTTCATTTGCTTTTAAATAAGCAGAACTTTATGGAAATTTTAAAATGGTAACTGAACTTTTAAGTTGAAGTTTTTAACGTTTTATATGTGTAGTAATTTAAGTTTTGTTTTGAAAAGTCACGGTTCAATTTTTGCTTAGTACTTCGAAAGGTTTTTATATTGAAATTAATTTTTCTATTATAAATAGTTATATAATATTTTGTATCGTTATTTAGAATTTGGTATTCGAATGTAATTATTCATTAATGAACATTATAAGTTGCGGACGGATTACCTGATGGTAAGCAATTGACGCCTCTATGAACATCCGCTACAACGAGGGAGGATGAGGAGTTGCTGACCTTTTAGGGATTGAGGTTTTCGAGATTTAGGGATTGGGAGAGGGGAAGGATTAGGCCGCCGATAACCTCACTCACACAGCGAAACACAATAATGTGGTGGTTTGTCAACACGCCGCTATTCTGTAAGGCTGTGAAATAACTTCTTATTTTGGTATCAATTCATTTAAGCTTAGAAAAGTCGTAAGTTGTAAGCAATTAAGAACAACTACAAACGCTGAGATTACCTATGTGTATGTACATAATATTATTGGATGGAAAACTCATAGATTTTGATGCAATAATCAAGTGCATACATTTTATTTTTTGTACAGATTACACAATTATTTGGTAAACATATGAGAATACAGAGATTTACTGACTTCAAAAACCGTAACTTTTGTGAAACTTTTTACTTTTTAGTATACCCATATCTATTTTAACCATTGGCCAGCTCAGAAGCCAAACAGTAGTTGCTATCTCTGTGCTAAATATCTGCATACTAACAAAAAAATACATTATTAGTCTACAAGTGCCTACTGTTGAGCAAGGGCCTCTTCTCACACAGAGAAGGTTTGAGATTTTTTTACCACGCTTGCTCAAGGCGGAATGGCGATTAAAAACTTATAATTAGAAACTAAATTATAGGTCCATAGTGTCCTCTGGATATTTCCCTTCGCCGTAAGTCAGCGGTGTCTAAATAATTATAGAAAGTACATATGACTCGTAAAAGACACATTGGTTCATTCCAGGTTTCACTCACCCCCTCATGCACAAGAAGCAAGCACCTTAGCCTCTGGGCCACCACTATATTACTCATATATCATACACTAAGTAAAATACAGTAATGTTTTATTATTTTATTTAAGTAATATACTGTAATAATATTCAATATCAACTGTTAAAAAGTAATACATTTTATCAAACATTCCTAATGGAATTGACTTCTCATCGTTTTCAAAGTATCTTTAAGTCCACATTGACAACTCTGTTAGATTGAACTAAAAGCTTATTTATATAGCACACACATACACGTTCAACAAATGAAATTTCTTTTTTATCAATTGACGACTAAACTATATGAGTTTAAAACAAAAGTATTTGAAAAACCAATTCTCGTTGGAAATGTACCTAATAAAAACCTAATCGTTTTCACTAAACTTTATTCTTTGGTCGTTTTGTTCGTCGTAAATCGTAATGAGAATTGTTGAAATATTAACAGTTTCGAGTTTGAACAGCTGTAATGACTTTTGTTATGCTAATTAAAAATTAACTGTATTAGTTTCAATTTAAATGTGAATTTTCTTTATTTTCGTATCGTAGTGCTCCTACAACATAGGGTTTTCCTATATTTTACTTAGTTGCAATGAGGTTGAACTGTGTTACTAATGGATTTTATTACTTTTTTTCTCCTCCAGTCATACCACAAGTGAAAGTCACCAATCAACTAGTGGGGGCTCCGCTGGGCAGTGACGTAGAACTCCAGTGCTTCATCGAGGCCTCCCCTAAAGCTATGAACTCCTGGTACCGAGAAGACGGTAACTGTAATTATTCCAAGTTTATATTTTTTACTTGACATTTTTAATATTTAATCCCGTACGAAACCTTTTACAAGAACATCCCTTAGTAAATTATAATCCTGTTGAAGTGCTGTTTATGAGGAACATGGGATATAAATAAACGCAATTTTCTCAAAATTCAAAAATAATGTAGTAGACATTTTTCGTTTTAAGGTACAACATACTCCTTGTAAAGCGTTAAGGTAACTTTATGTTCGTGTCTGAAAAATTAGAAGAACACGTGGAAAAATATTCTCTTTAACAAAATTCCAAAATTCTTTCCGAGATGCTATACTCCTACATTATCTTGTTACCGTATAGATACTTTTACCTGCTATACGTGTCAAGGGTCTTTCTTTGTAGCGAAACTAGCTTTCTAACACGGCTTCACCTGAGTGTGAAATCTAAAATAAAAAAAATCTGGTTTCACAATCTTAGTTACCCTACTTCTCCGAAACGGCTTTACTACTTTTTACCAAATTTTATAAGCTTATTCAGTTGGTCTGAGAATCAGCTTTACCAGGTCAGATAGTTTAGCTATAATATATACTTACAGAATTTCATAATTAATTTACTTACTATAATTTTAATACACAAAATCACAAAATGTATATAATTGGCTATTTCCGAAAGAAATAAATGATAAATATTCGCAGTCACAGTATAGAGACCTAATTTCCCAAACAAAAAATTTTGTAGTAGGTACAATAAGTTCCTTTACTAACACATCCTTAATTCCACAGCACTATTAAGCGACAAATTGACCGAGAACCCGAAACTTCGTGTATCAGAAACTATAATGAACGAGTACTCGCTTTGGATAAACTTGACTATAAAGTCCTTGGCTCTAGCAGACTACGGAACTTATGTGTGCGCCTCTGTCAATGCACTGGGAAAGATGGAGAGCCAAGTCAGTTTGCATAGTAAGTGGCCAATATCATTATACGACTTAGTTCGATGTAGATGGTAGAACTTAGTACAAGCGTTGTTAGTGACAATGTAAGATGGGACTTGTATAATTGTACTTGCTATTACTAGGAGTTGAGAGATTACAACCATTCAATGTTACTAGCAAACATCAAGAAATGACAGACGTTGTTGCGTGTTCAGAAACTAGTAGTAGTTGTAGAATTGCATAATAGTAATTGTCTGAGATTAGTTCAGACTAAAAAATAAATTCCATATTAATCATCATCATCATAATCAGCCTGATTCCACCTACATCTTCTCATCCAACCACTGCCAGGTACCCTGTGGATATCGTCAATCCACCTAGCTAGAGGACGCCCTACACTACATTTGCCTAGACGTGGTTTCCACTCTAGAACACGTCTAGACTACCCCAACGGTCATCGGCTCTTCGACAAATGTGACCTACCCAATCCTAAATTCCCACTATTAAAAAACCGGGTTTATTACATTTTAAATGAGATATCAATAAACAACACATTAAGTAATATCACTTTTCAAAACACACTTTCTCTCATTACCATTTTATATTGTGAGAAGTAACACAATCCTCAAGTATGGTCTAGTCTGACGATATACCACAACCCACTGAAACTATTAACCATTTAAGAAAGGAAATCAAGGATATTATCAAATATTTACAACATTTTTCACTTACTAAATGTCTAAAACGAGCCATATTTTACAGGATTAGAACTAAGCATGAACGGTTTCGGGGCCGAGGAGCCGATGGTCTCCGGCGCAGCGTGGCAGCGCGCGCGCCACTCTCCGTCCCACCGCGCGCAGCCAGCCGCGTCGCACGCCCATCAATACTTCCTTGCGCAACATCTACCACCACAGCTGTACGCTTTACTACTAACTGTGCTGCGATATATACATACTTTTTAGGCGGTTATACTATTTTCTGTGAACTAAGTTTATGTTGAATAGATGTGGACTAAATACCGCTCACCTACTTATATCAAATCCCAAGACATTGTACTTGAAATTGTTTGGTCGACTGGCATGTTTGTCAATTTAATCGGTATCGACAAACCTTCCTAGAATGTCGATATTGTGTTTAACATATTGAAACCGAAAGGTACATATATTCAACATAAGTTTAGTATGACGAGCAGTATGTGGCATAATATTGTACAGATATTCAAGGATGTGACGTATTAATGGTTGAAATGTTTAAACATGGAACAAAAGAGGACAGGAATCAACGTAAATTTTTTTACCAACAGAATGTTAACTACCAGTACTACCACCAGAATTACTAGGGAGGTATCTTGTCCAAAAAGGTTAGTCTCATTTGCAGTCATTGACCATAAACTGTTTGACAGCTAAAGTGATTGGGCAAATGTAAAAACACGTTACATTAACGCCATCTGGCGAGCAGGAAAACACGCGCCCTCATTAAGCGCTAAGTCCATACGCTGCAATGACGAAATTAAAATTACTATTATTTTCTTAATGTTGTATTCAATACTCAAAATAGATTAGATTTCTCAGTAAGTTCATACATATATTTTGATTTTTTTATAAAAATATTTTATTTAAGTTTTTAATTTTGTAATGTGAATTATTATGTCCGTAAACATAATATGTTGGTATATAATTTTAATCTTTATTTTTATTATTTAAAAAGGGTCAGTTTAGCTTAGAACAATATTTATCAACCTTTTGTACGGTGAAAGAAAATAAAACTTACACACTTACACAACAACATTAAGACTACGACATGTATTATAAAATCAATAGAAATATGAACTTTCAATCGTAATAGCCTGGTTTGATGTAAAATTAATATAAAAACTAATAAATATCGATAAAAAATATTTAACTGACTAGTGTAAGTTATAGTATAAGTGACTAGTATATCGTTAGGAACATTTCAAATTTATCAATCGATATTCATATTGTTTTCAAACCTATCTTGATACCTCGTGCTAACATTACGTTGACTTTGACAATAAATGTGTAATTTATGAAATATAATATTGAAATAAATGTCCTTATGAAACCCTACTTGAATGTGTTGATTTTATATTGAAACTTTTTTGTATGCAAACTCTGACATCAAAATGCTGCGCTGAATAAACGAGACTCGTGATGACTAAAGGGATATCATATATACCTATATATATACTTATATATACGCTTTCATAACGTCATTTGTATTTAAAAATATTTCTTTTTCACAAGTTTTCATATTATTGTGAAAAATATTGGACTATTGTAGGTGCATTGATTGAACGACCGGCTATGTTACGTGTGACTCGATTCCCGTTTGAAATCATTCCATAATTTATATGAAGGTATTACATGTGAGACTATGATTGTTTTGTAAGTTCAACCAGGATACAGAAAATTATTAAAATATGAAGTTAGTTTTTCAGAAAAGATGTTTTAATATACATAAAAGAAATTCTATCAAAAATAACTCTACAAAGAACAACTGTATAAAGAATAGCTGTGTGTGATCTTGAAAAGTATTTTCATTAACCCAATAGAAATAAATTTTTGAAATAAACTTTTTCAACAGTACAGCTACACTACATTAATCCAATAACAAACCCATTTGGAATTCGTCTCGCGTACGTTATTAACTCTAAATACCTTTTTAAATCGAAATCTTCTAAAGCAACGATTAAAACAAAAACGAAAACTAATGCAAACCGCGTTTATAGAATCAATCTGCATTCAAAAAGCGATCTTCAGTATTTTAAAGCTAATTCAATATCGAGCGGAGATTCCATTGACCTATCTCAAACGAGATACGTGGTGCAGGACAATGACGAATGGTCGATCCGACCCGCTAATGCATTTTTCGTGTTGCACTTGAATTAATGTGTCTCCAGTTTCATTTCATGGGGAGTGCCGGCAATGGGCGGGTTTAATAACCGTGAAAAGGTCGTATAAAGTTAATCATTTTATTCGACGTGAAGTTTACTGGCCGTTCGGTTATCTCGTCCCGATACGTGATTCAACCCGTCACTGCACTCGAATACTTTACGATAGCGCAAAAGTAAATGTGAATTTTAAGAGGTGACGTCATACTGTTGATATTAAGATATTTTTACAGTCAAAGGAAATTGAGTAGTGTCTATCAGTACAGCTATCTACTTATAATATTAACGATTTAAACTTCTAAAGTTTACTTCAATATCTAACCGCTAACATTATAAATGACCTGTTCTGATCCGAAAATCCATTTAAAATGGTTTCCAAATTACTTGAAAATATTGTTCAATTCCTTTTAAACGTCTAATAGACCCTGAATCCCTGTTCCCGGTTGTACAAGTTGAAAACTTATTAAAATTCTTTCGGTATCCTCCGGCTCTTGCTTTTTGAGAAAACCTTTTAGTCTATTTTCGAAGTATTCTTACATATTTAAACGTCGGTATAATGTTAAGACAATAGCTATTTATAGATGAAAAATGATAATTAATTTTATGCAAACAAAAATGTACATTTTAACTACGTCACTGGAATGAATACAAACAAGAAGTAACTACAAGGTATAATAGCCATAATTAAGGTGTCAACGAACCGCAAAACTTTCGTATTCATATCTAATGATTATGAAAACAAATAGCACAGCGTGGCATAACGGTCAAACTCAAAGTTTCATCAACATAATTTATTCGGGACAGTCAGCCGAGTGGCCCACGCGGACTCCGCAGCTATTTTTTCCTTTAGTCGTCCAGGATACGCTCTGAATTTTGGGCAGACGATTTTTCAGAGGGAACTTCAATTGTACAACGCGGTCACGTATTTTTTAGCGTCACTCGAGCAGACATGCGCCTGAGTTTAATAATGTCATAGGCAGCCAGCGTGCTTATGTGCGCGCCGGGATGTTGATAGCCACAAACAACGTGACTTAATATAATACGCCGCGTTTAAAAAGTTTTTCGTTCATTATAATATTTATTATTATATTAAAACACTTTTCTTCAAAGACTTTTCATATGCGAGGGATTGCAGAAAAGGAACATGGAATATAATTATGTAGTACGTAGTATGCACATATATGTAGTATACACCTTGGGTTTGGTCATTAATAAATAAATAAAGACGAGATGAAATTTTTCGTTAGCAAGGTATTTAATTCCACGAACTATGATAAGCAGCATGGTCTATGCATCAGCGCAGCATATCAATACTAGTTTCCACAATATCTAGCATCGTCGGCGCTCTGCATTCCTCGTAACACTTATCCAAAGATTCAATAAATATTCACAAAACTGCACAGAGTCACGATCGTTTGTACAGCTACCAATAAATCGCGTAGACCGCTGATAAACAAACGCGGCCATTGTGATTTGCGGCATTTTGTTACATTCGTCCGCGCGGGCAATGCTGTCATGCGACAATAATTCTTTGAAAACGCTCCTGACAGTTTTGCCGCAAGCGACGCCTCTGCACTAGAATGGGATTTACTATGTCATACGAAACGTTAGCGGTCGACGAGAAATTTTTCACAAAAGGTATTCAAACAAAACCGATGTTAGCTAGCTAAACGGACATTTATAGCTCAATATTGTATACCAGCTTGTCTCCGTTCTTTGTAGGCAAAACGAGATCGAGGCTTTTTGTCACTCGCAATTTACAAACCAAACAATAAACATCAAAAATAATCTTAAAATCCAGATGAATAGCGAAGGCGGGCGTCACGTCGGAATAAAAACAAAAACAAACTGAAGGTAAGTCGTTGTGTTATCTCGATCTTAAATAAAACCGATTTCTTTAACCAAAACGTCTATGCGAAAAAGAACTTTATCCGGCGTTGGATTCATTAGGATACTTTTTACTCAAGTTAAACAACAAGATATAAACTCGGTAATTACTGTAAAAGTAAGAGGTTTAGCCGATAAATTAATTACTAGATATTGCTTCGTAAGTTACGGGGTTAAAAATAGAGCAAGTTCGTAATTGCAACTTGGTTATTAGATTAAAAAGCTCTTCAAGGAACTGGAAGTAAATAAGTTACCTACTAAGCTACTGCTTTTAGATTTTATGTTTCAATAGAGAAAAACTGTTCAGTATTCATGTGGCACAAAGAAAGCTAATTCACTAACGCGACAGAAATCGCTGGATAACCCCTTTTACTTGAATATACAGTGCCTGCTTTAGTTTACTTAAAAATAACGTTTCCAATCCTAGAAACGGGTTGTCCCTGTTCAAAATATAGGATTTGCACAAATTAGCAACAGGAAAGATAGTACATAATTAACTTATACTTCATATTTTATGAATCGAGCTTTATGATAATCTGCCAAAAAAGGTTAAAATATTCACATTTATATAAGATATATTATATACAAAATGGTTGCCGGACCCTGGGAACAGTGGGCCGGAATGAGGACGTCATTCAGTGCGGTGATCAATCTATCGGTCTCGCCGAAGTGACGCATCGATGGACAGCGAAATATATCGATACCGAGACCGGCGCGACCCTACGCAAAAACACGTAAGTATAGACGCGTACATATTTTAGTATCGCTCAATTACTTAGATTGGTACAGTGAAGTAGAGATCCTTTTTACATACTCCCCTCTAGTACATATTGTACGATTTTTCCATTCGCTCTAAGTGTTATTGAGAATTTCTCCGCCGAGTAGTTTTAGGCTTTGAGATTGGCAGCTTGAACACAGATAGTGTTTTGTTATCTTATTGAAAACAAGATTGATAAGGAGAACGTTTTGAATAATTGAAGTTTGGAAGATTGAAAGTCAGGACCGCTTGTTACATTTTTTGCTGCGTTGTCAATTACACGAAACATAAACCAGGACTAGGACTAACTTAGGACTTACAAAAATCTGGTGATAGTGGAAATTACTGATCAGGATAAATTGATGTTTATTACAATAATTAAAAATTATTTCTTACCCTTCGTACCAGCCAAACTGTGTAAGTTAGTTTGATCCACGAAACATACATAAATTATAGTCTGTCAGCCAAACATTGTTAAGTACTCCCAACTAATTCTCGAAATGAAAAGGAAGTTAAATAAAGAAGTACCTATTATGTACATTCACTCATTCAGTTAAATCATATTAAAAAAAATCTCCTACAGCCTAG